CACACTTGTACAAACTTTTACACACTTGTACAAACTTGTACACCCTTGTACACACTTGTACAACCTTGTACACACTTGTACAACCTTGTACACAATTGTACAACCTTGTACAACCTTTACACACTTGTACAACCTTGTACACACTTGTACAACCTTGTACACACTTGTACACCTTTGTACACACTTGTACAACATTGTACACACTTGTACAACCTTGTACACACTTGTACAACCTTGTACACACTTGTACAACCTTGTACACACTTGTACACACTTGTACAAACTTGTACATTCTTGTACATACTTGTACACCCTTGTAAACACTTGTACAACCTTGTACAAACCTGTACACCCTTGTACACACTTGTACAAGCTTGTACACACTTGTACACCCTTGTATACATTTGTACAACCTTGTACAAACTTGTACACACTTGTACAAACTTGTACACACTTGTACAAACTTGTACACCCTTGTACACACTTGTACAACCTTGTACACACTTGTACAACCTTGTACACACTTGTACAACCTTACACAATTGTACAACCTTGTACAACGTTGTACAACCTTGTACAACGTTGTACACACTTGTACAACCTTGTACACACTTGTACAACCTTGTACACACTTGTACAACCTTGTACACACTTGTACACCTTTGTACACACTTGTACAACCTTGTACACACTTGTACAACCTTGTACACACTTGTACAACCTTGTACACACTTTTTCAACCTTGTACACACTTATACAACCTTGTACACACTTGTACAACCTTGTACACACTTGTACAACCTTGTACACACTTGTAAAACCTTGTACACACTTGTACAACCTTGTAAAAACTTGTACAACCTTGTACACCCTTGTACACCCTTGTACACACTTGTACAAGCTTGTACACACTTGTACAACCTTGTACACACTTGTACACCCTTGTACACACTTGTACAACCTTTTACAAACTTGTACACAATAATTGTGTAATAATTTTGTACAATTATTGTACAAAATTGTACATTCTTGTAAATACTTGTACATCCTTTTACACACTTGTACAACCTTGTACAAACCTGTACACCCTTGTACACACTTGTACAAGCTTGTACACACTTGTACACCCTTGTACAAACTTGTGCACACTTGTACACTTTTGTACACCCTTGTACACATTTGTACAACCTTGTACAAACTTAAACACACTTGTACAAACATGTACACACTTGAACAACCTTGTACACACTTGTACAACCTTGTACACACTTGTACAAGCTTGTACACACTTGTACAAACTTGTACACACTTGTACAACCTTGTACACACTTGTACAACCTTGTACACACTTGTACAACCTTGTACACACTTGTACAACCTTGTACACAATTGTAAAACCTTGTACACACTTGTACAACCTTGTACAAACCTGTACACCCTTGTACACACTTGTACAAGCTTGTACACGATTGTACACTCTTGTACACACTTGTGCAACCTTGTACACACTTGTACAACCTTGTACACACTTGTTCAAGCTTGTACACACTTGTACAACCTTGTACACACCTTACACCCTTGTACACACTCGTACAACCTTTTACAAACTTGTACACACTTGTACAAAATTGTACAACCTTGTACAAACCTGTACACCCTTGAACACACTTGTACACCCTTGTACAAACTTGTGCACCCTTGTACACTTTTGTACACCCTTGTACACATTTGTACAACCTTGTACAAACTTGTACACACTTGTACAAACTTGTACACACTTGTACAACCTTGTACACACTTGTACAACCTTGTACACAATTGTAAAACATTGTACACACTTGTACACACTTGTACAAACTTTTACATCCTTGTACACATTTGTACACCCTTGTACACACTTGTACAACCTTGTACAAACCTGTAAACCCTTGTACACACTTGTACAAGCTTGTACACGATTGTACACCCTTGTACACACTTGTGCACCCTTGTACACACTTGTACAACCTTGTACACACTTGTACAACCTTGTACAACCTTGTACACACTTGTACAACCTTGTACACACTTGTACAACCTTGTACATACTTGTACAACCTTGTACACACTTGTACAACCTTGTACACACTTGTACAACCTTGTACACACTTGTACAACCTTGTACACACTTGTACAACCTTGTACACAATTGTACAACCTTGTACAACCTTGTACACACTTGTACAACCTTGTACACACTTGTACAACCTTGTACACACTTGTACACCTTTGTACACACTTGTACAACATTGTACACACTTGTACAACCTTGTACACACTTGTACAACCTTGTACACACTTGTACAACCTTGTACACACTTGTACACACTTGTACAAACTTGTACATTCTTGTACATACTTGTACACCCTTGTAAACACTTGTACAACCTTGTACAAACCTGTACACCCTTGTACACACTTGTACAAGCTTGTACACACTTGTACAAGCTTGTACACACTTGTACACCCTTGTATACATTTGTACAACCTTGTACAAACTTGTACACACTTGTACAAACTTGTACACACTTGTACAAACTTGTACACCCTTGTACACACTTGTACAACCTTGTACACACTTGTACAACCTTGTACACACTTGTACAACCTTACACAATTGTACAACCTTGTACAACGTTGTACACACTTGTACAACCTTGTACACACTTGTACAACCTTGTACACACTTGTACAACCTTGTACACACTTGTACACCTTTGTACACACTTGTACAACCTTGTACACACTTGTACAACCTTGTACACACTTGTACAACCTTGTACACACTTTTTCAACCTTGTACACACTTATACAACCTTGTACACACTTGTACAACCTTGTACACACTTGTACAACCTTGTACACACTTGTAAAACCTTGTACACACTTGTACAACCTTGTAAAAACTTGTACAACCTTGTACACCCTTGTACACACTTGTACAAGCTTGTACACACTTGTACAACCTTGTACACACTTGTACACCCTTGTACACACTTGTACAACCTTTTACAAACTTGTACACAATAATTGTGTAATAATTTTGTACAATTATTGTACAAAATTGTACATTCTTGTAAATACTTGTACATCCTTGTACACACTTGTACAACCTTGTACAAACCTGTACACCCTTGTACACACTTGTACAAGCTTGTACACACTTGTACACCCTTAAACAACATATTTATTGGCCTAAAAAAATAACAGTTTTATTCAAATGTTGTCTCACTTTACTTTTATGAAGGCTTTCATTTCTTAGCTTACAATAATAGTGTAATCTTGTCGAAAAATACTTGTTAGCGATTAATTTTATAACAAAAAAAAATGATTATCATCCAGTTCAATTTCCGAGAAATGTAAGTTTCCAGGAAATAAATTTATTCCTATACACTTGCTTAGTATGTAATTTGTCATTTTACTAATAATGTTTTTATCAGCTAGACAATTCTGATCGTTATTAAAAACTCCAAACTTACTCTTGAAATAACTTTCACAAATTTTGCATATTTTGATAACACTATCGGACGGTTGTACTAACCCTCCCCTATCCTTACTTACAATTAAACTTAAAAAAATATTGTTCTTGTCCTTTCTTAAACATTGGACACAATCTTCACACAATAATTTAGAAGATATTGACCTTACAACAAAACCAGCTATATATTCTACAATATTAAATTCTATATCCGACTGACAAGAAGGAACAAATAAATCTTCTTCTTCATCCATACTTGAGAGAGATTCTTTAGCATTTTCCTCCAAGGTACGCCATTCTGATAATGTACTGTTTAATGCGACTAGCGCATTTTGTTTTGACTTCACGTCAAAAATTAACGATCGGTCTAGGATCAGACAGTTACCACTTTCATTCTCCTCCAACTCCTTATGGAGCAGTATTCTTTTAAAAGTTGATGTAAACTGTTTACATGTTGGATTGTTATTATGGCCGCCTCATGACCTTATATAACCAAAGAGGCGCTCCAAGTGGTCCTGACTTATTTTGTACATTGGAAGAAATTTCAGTTGGGCATTTGATGAACTATGAAGGACATATCGATTGTACATACCCATAGCACTGTCTATGCATATCAAGAATCCAATAAAACCCGTTTTTCGGTTAGTGTCACAAATTGGCTTACCCATATTATTCTTTAACTGTAAGATATAGTTTTTTGCCTCTTGCAAAAATTTGTTTGTACTTTCGATATTCTTGGGATATAGTGCCTGCTTTTTATATTTCTCATTGATACTCCTAGAGTTTAAAATATCGAAAAGATCATTAAATAATCTTATAAACTTAACAGTTGCAGAACAGTTTATAAATCTGTCATCATGGTTGTCTGAGAGGAATTTCAAAGAGTCAGCCACTGAAGTACTAAGTAACTGGGCCGCTAATTTGACCTTCATTTTTTGTTTCCAATATTCAATATGTGACTTAGTCAGTTTATTACCAAGGGTTAATTCAATTTCTGTTTGAAGTTTATACAAAGATTCAATGTATCGCCATTCAATAATATTTCCATCGCCATCAACTAAAATTTTAAGATCGCCAAATGCGTTCCTTACAAGTTTTACCATATGACTTGGGTCTAAAAAGAAAAATACAGGATCTTGCGTAATTGGATGGGGGAAGTAGGTAATCAATTCTGTTTTTGTTAGATTGCAGCCTAAAATATTACCCATCGAAATATTACATGCTGTTCCATCACAAGTCAGTGATGATACTTTTACTCCAACATCATGCAGTAAAGTCAACCCTTGCTTTACTAAAGCGCCCAGCTGACTTCCTGTTAAACCAGAAACAAAGAAATATCCAACAGGAAGTTTTAAATGGGATTTTAAAAATACTAAGTTAAAAACTAAGGCCTCTGTTGCAAGCGGTGCGTTATCATCTTCTAAAGGAACGCCCACATTTACCGTACCATGAAATCTTTTACCATCAAATTCTATATGCTTACGAATAGACATTGAATCTAGCATAAAAGCACACAATGTTTCCCCGTTTCTGTTAGTGTATTCTTTTAGAGCTCTTGATATTTCCTGTGAAAAACCAGGTTCACCATCAACTGTTGAGTACCACCTACACAACGTTCTGGGGTGCGGCAAGGCTGTGTCAAATGTTTTCCGTACAAATCTGTAAGCTTTGGGGGATAAGAAATGGAGAGTTATAGCAAAGGCTTTGAGGCGATCCTCGTAGACCTTTCTCATTTTTGGATTGATATTTTTTTCGTGAGATCTTTTTAACAGGCATGCTGATGTTTTTGATAAAGAACTTAGCAGTAAACAGTTCTCATCGGCAATATTTAATTTGTCTTTTAAAACAGTTATAATACTTTTAAGGTTACCAATTTTTTTTGTAATCCTTCTCTTTTTTTGATTCAGATTTCTAACTTTTCTTTTTGATGTCTGCAGCAAGCTTTTAGTTTTGTCAAGCTCCTTTTTTAATTTCTTTTTCCTTGGGGACTCTAAAACACCTACATATGTCTCACCAGTGCTAAATACCTCATCGACTGTCCTTTTCAATGGCTTTCTTTCGTTGGGAAGTTCTTTTCCTTGAGCTGGAAACACGCAGGGGACTGCTCCCGGCCTCAACCTGACGCATGATGAAGACGTCCGGTCCAGATCTGACTCTCTGAAGTGTGCGGAGCACAGCTGACTCCACTTCGATGGCTCCCAGTCCTTTCTGCTCACTGCTATAGTCCATTTCTCCCTCAGGTGCTCGTCTTTAGGGAACTAAAAAAATTAAAAACCTCTTAAAAAACAGCAAATCTTGTAAAAGTAATAATAATTGCTTTGAAAATCTAGGAAGAAGCTGTTTATTCCCTTTTGAGACAAAAAACAACAAAATAGTTATACAGTATTTAGTTTTATAAATTAGGCCTGATACTGTTATTTTGTTTAATAAAGTGGTCTTCTTTTTTTTAAATTTAATTACCATTATTCAATGATTAACCTAACGTTAACCAAAGAGTAAAAAAACTTCATAGTTCATTAGGCATAAACAAATCTCTTCCTAATTCGTTAACACTTAAGACATAGGGCCTACATGAAAAAGAATAATTAGTTGATCGGGTGACCGACTATGGTATTTGTTATCATTAGATACCGGTATTTGGTCTGTCGATGTTTTGTGTTTAGGCCTATTGGTAATAAAATAAAAAGGTATTGATCAAGAAGCAATGCTTACCTGGTGAAATGTTATACCAGCGGGTGGTCGATATCCCTTTTTGTTGTTTGCTGTCCGATTAGTACACCCAAACGCTGCACAATTAACCATCTTATGAACGATTCACTAGAGTCCGACAACATATTACGGCTAACACTGACATTTGATGCGTGTAAAAGTCACAACTTTGCACACCGAAATAAATCGTCTGGACGTCTGGCACTGTCTGGGGGAGGCAGGCGTGGTGGTGGCTGGTGGTGTTAGTGATGGCAGGGGGGCGGGTGCGGGGAAGTCTGACGCTCGGACTAGGACAGCGCCGCCATGTTGGCCCGACACCTCCGGCCGCTCAGCCGGCTTCACTGGGCGCTCCAAGTAGCCTCTCTATTGTATTGTGTACTCGATGATTGTATTGCTCAAATAATGTATAGCTCCAATTTAGTATAGCTATAATTTAGTATAGCTCCAAATAATGTTTAGCACCATAAAGTTTACATGAATGAAAACAGATTTACATTGATAATTTCTGAAAAACTATAGGCATCTTTAATGATTTTATCTGCTTGTTGCAGTTTAATCGGGTCCGTCAGCGACTGGAGAATTTGCAAGATCTTGCCATTAAAAAGGCTAAGCAGGTAGGTAGTGTAATTTTGAAATGTAATCTCATAGACTAACCAACACTAGGTAATAAGTACATACGAAGTAGGCAATTGTACAATCTTATTGGATGGAGAACAAAACTAAACTACACGCAATCACAGAAAACATACTACTATAACCCAGAACGCCAACTGCATGGTAAAAAGCGTTAAGTACTTTGAGAGAGCTTTGCCTGTCAATTCCTAGGCAGCGCCACCAGCGTTGCTATGCACTCACCTTTACTGAAAATGCAACATTTTTGGGCTTAAATATCGATAAGAATTTAACATGGAAAACACACATAAAAATGAATGTTTGTTGGTAAATTAAATACCGCTTGCTTTCAAATGTATGTTTTGGTTTTGAGAAATGTAATTTAAATGTGATTTAAAAATTAAACTCACAGTATACTATGCAATGTTCTTTTCTGTCTTGCAACACGGGATTGAATTATTGGGAGCAACTTCTTTTTCTAAAGCAGTTTTCAAAATTCAGATGAAATTTATAAGGATTTTATCATTTATGCCTAAAAGAACCTCATGCAGAGCTTTATTTGCTAAATATGAGATATTAAATTTGCCTTCACTTTATATATTTAAAATTATGGTGAATTTTAAAATTAATTATCAAATGTACAATGATAAACAAGTCAGTCATCCGTATCTTACACGCTCAACAAATTTTAAATATCCAAAGACATCGCCTATGTTTTTATGAAAGGTCTCCTTATTATATGGGATTACGGCTTTACAACAGTCTACCCACTAGTTTCAATGAAATTAACAGTGTATTTCAAAATTTAAAAATGATTTCAAACAATACCTTTTACAGAAAAATTATAATAACATTTCCGAATATTTAAATGATAAGTATATGTGGATTTTAGTTTTATTATGTAACTTAGTGTTTAAGATCTCTGACAATATAACCTGTTTCACCAGCTAACGCTGGATCTGTGAAATTTATTGTGATAGTAAAGTAATATTTCATTTCAAGATGAAAATTTGGGGTTGTTATATATACACCCCCAGAAAAGTTTGTGTGCAGTTTGGTGCAGATCCGAAAAAGGGCTCTGCCCCAGTGGCTCTGGAGTTTCCCATGTTAACCTTATGAGTACTTATATTTAAATGGAATTAAAGAATCTTAACAGCTAGTTCAACAAAACTGTTTGATTCTGTGATGTTCAATGGCATTCAAAAGTGAATAGGTTTACCTACAGGGTGCAGCACTATTCTTTTTTTTAATTTATTAACACAGCTAATTTGCAACCAAAAGGTGAGTAGCGAACAAACTTCAACCTGGAGGCGAGTTAGTGTAGCGAACGAGCTAAGCCTGAAGGCAAGTGAGCGCAGCAAACGAGCTCCAACCTAATGGTGAGTAAGCGTAGCAAACGAACTTCAACCAGGACGTGATTGAACGAGTTAATCTTGAAAAGGAACGAACATTTGACATAAAACAACATTAGGACAGCACGACATCTGTCAGGCCAGCTAGTAACATTTTTAATTGGTACCTATTAAAAATTGAGACATCATGAAATATTTGCAAAACTTAAATAAATATGCTTATGAGAATTGATAAGAGTTTTTAAGTACATTTTAATTACATCTGTACTTGAAATATATTAAAACCAAGAATATATTTATGAGATTCTCTTCAAACTATTCTGTGAAAAAGTCCTACATCAGGATGAAATATCAGTGTTTTGTTTTGTGTTGTTGTATTGTGTAGGCCTATCTATTATCCCTGAACTCTAAGTTTCTCAGGTAAGCCTGCGGGACTATAATCCTAAAAAAAACTCCTATCTATAGTCTACCTTTAACTACTGTGCTGCAACAAAACAGATCTTGGTTGTAATGAATTTGATTTTTTTTTTTATTTTGATCTGAAATTTGTTTGCAGGAGATGAGGAGTCCTTGAAAGTTAATAAGGTACGTTGAAATTTGTTATATAAACTTGTTAAGTGATGCAGTTATGTTATGTAAAAAATTGTGAAAAGTAGTAGGAAAAAAAACTAATAATCTTTTTTATTTATACTTTTGTTTCAGGGATGAATTGTGTGAACTGTACATGGTTGAAAAATGTAAACCTTTAAATCCTAAAGGACCCAGTGTGGCAACAGCAAATGCAAGCCCACAAAGCGCAGGGAAATGATTTTGTATTGCTGTACTCTTTATTTTGGCGTTAAAGACAAATTACAATACCAATCCAGTAGTTTTTTTTCTTTCTTTTGTACGTTTAATGTTATGTAGACAATGTTTATTTAAGTAGTCAAAGAAAAAATATTTTTATTTCCAAGATATTTTTACAAAAAAACATAATGAAATATAAATCTTTTGGTTGCATGTATCCTAAATATACAACCTTTCCTTTAGTCTTAGATGATAAGATAAACACTCTGATGCACAATGAAATTTAAAAATCTCAGTTTCAAGCTACGTTTGTCTATGCAAATACTGGCGTGATAGAAAATTTATTTTTACTGCTCTCACATAGTAGTTACAAGTCTGATCAATGTAATAAAAATGTAAGTTTGCTAACATGAAATTTCAACTTAAATGGCCCGTCTTGAAAAAGTTAAATAAAATTCCTGTTAAAAAAGAAAACAATTAAGACTAAAAATATACAGTCTAACACAAATCATAACTGAACGACTATTGACAATATGCTGTACCGTAAAATATAATGAAATAAAAACAAAAATTTACTAACTGAACACAAATTTAGAACTACAGACGTTCTTCCTTAAAATAAATTATTTTCCAAATATTACCAGTTAAATTATTTGAATGTTTCTCCTTAATTGGAATTATTTTACATTGAATACAATTAGATACATTATTGCATAGAAAACAGTTTTGAAAAATTATTCATTTCTTAACACTAGAGGACCCATGCTGCTCCGCAGCGTTGAAAAATATCATATAAATATCATATCCGAGAAATAATCAAATTTACGATTTTTGATTGAGTAATACAACTCTTAAAACTTAACTCTTAAGTTTTGCTCTTGAACTTAACTGATTGAAACAATCAATAGCTCAAATCAAAGCCTATAATTTAATGATTGTTATGAGTCCAAAACATATAAAAAACCGTAACAATACTGGAGCTATTGATTTTTATTCATAGAAAAACCTTATAAAAAATTACTTTTATATTGGTACCTTGTATTTGCTTAAAACTCATCCAATTTGAAATTATTATAACTAGTGAAATTCATATTACAGTAAATTGAAGTAAGAATTAGAAAATAAATCAAATTTATGTTTTTTGGGTTGAGTAATTAATGTTTAATACAGCAGATAAATAAATGCCAATGCTTGATGTGAAATCTGTGCGTACACACCTTCAATTTGAGACCTCAATCATGAAAATCGGTCAGGTAGAAGAGGCAAACAAACTCGGAAAAGAAAAACCAAAAGGTCCACTTCGCCCTCTAGTAACACAAATATAACTATTCACATATTCAGTGATCCACTACTTCCTCAGGGCCTTCGTTTGAGGTCGGGTTTGTGGCTCTGTACTCTACTATAAATACCTCTCATTTCATAATATGCATAACAACCTATGCTTACATTTAAGATTTTCTCCTAGCTTGTAGCGGGCTGTCCCCCTGAGGAAGTAGCGGATCACTAAATGTGTGATCAAATAGATTATTACATCCAGTAACTTTGTGCAAAGCTTTGTAGCTCTATATCTGAGCAAAGCGAAGCGAAGCTCTTATACCACACTCCTGCTTTTGTTTTACAAATACTCCTGAACGGCTGAAGTGATCTGCAAGGAATTTAGCACAGTCAGAGTAACCAACCACAGGAAGGTATATATCTGAAATGGTACAAATTGGACCACAGGGCACTTCCCTATGTGAATTTAAACTTTTAGAAATTCAACATGGACGTACTACAGTAGAACCTCGATAGTTGGACACTTTGTGACTTCGAACTATAGGGAGTAAATGGAGTTTAATATACAGGAAAGTAAAAATATAAGTTTTATATAGAAATCACCCAAATTTAAATACTAAAAAGCTTAACAATTTCACTGTTAATTAGTTAAGTCTCAAGTCAACAATAAATGACAAATGTTCAAGTCAGCTTGCATCACGTTAGAAACCATTAAATATCACTTGACAAAATAGCTCAGCCCTTGTCGAACTGCAAGGGAGTTTTAAACTTACGAAGGTTTCTGTATTTGCAAGATAACTATAAAAAGGTAAACAAGAGTCATAAATATATGTTAGTCAACGAACAATCTAAATATAGCACAAGCACATTACAAACACCGAACAGAGAAAAAGGGAAGAACAATGGGATGAATATCATTGAGCATAATTTACTATAAAATGAGTTACCAATAATTAGGGTCGCCAGAATTAGGTGGATGCACCATTGACTTAAATACTCCAAATAGCTATTCCATTTATGTGAACTAGACGTACCATTAACTTTGGATAGGCATTTCATTGATTTATGTGTAACAAATATACCAATTGACTTAAGTTACTGCAAGTAGATGTCACATTTACTTGAACCAGAAGTGCCATTGGCTTAAAATACTGCAAAGTAGGCATTTTATTTATACTAGTTGGTCATCCAGTGGATGAAAACTCGACCAAAAATATGTAATTTACACTCACTGACTATTGTATAGTGAAGTAGACATCCCTTCTATAGACCAGCCATTGCAACTTTTTTTTATTAAAAAACATGTAGTTGTGTGAGCCAGTCACAGAATGCGTGTCTAAAACTCTATTTCTACCTTAATTTTTGTTGCTGAAAAAGTTGATGGGTCATACATAACAGTTGATATAGCTCATAATAAGTCATTGCAGAAGTTTGACTTGGTAAAAAACATTGTGTATTCGACAGAAATTAGTTACATTTTAGATCAGCGCAATCTGTTGGTGGCTCATATCAACTACGACGAATTCAATTTAAAAACTGACAACAACTTTAACATGGGGATGGAATGTCTAGTTGTAAGTCAGAGCATAGACAAAAATAATTAAATATAGACTGTCAGCCATGCTGCGGTTACCATAGGTTCTGGCGCAACCCACTGGAAACTTTGTTTGGGCACAACACTTTTTTGTTTAGAGGTTCAATTCGGTAATTTACAGTACAAGTCATATCTTGAAAATGTTATGAGATGTTACAAGAACAAACGTTACACTTTAACCTAGGCTGACTGATAAATTTATTTAGATTAAAAAAGTTTTTACTTAGGAACATATTAAATTCATGAGTCTAGAACCCCCTGGGCCCACAACCTAAAACTAGCGTCTAGACTGCCAGTGCAACTCCGAGCCCGAGGATCGTGGATCAGATCAGTAGATCACCCCCCACCACCGCACCATGTCGTACGCTTCCGAATAATACCGGCGCGTCAGCATAACTTATCTAACTCTTCGCGGAAAATTGTTATCTGTATCACTGTCGCTGTCAAAACGTATAATTTGTAGATTGAATTTGAATTAAATATAATTAAACTATCATAACCTAACCAAACTAACCAAACTTGCTGATAATGATAAACTCGAATGAAGGTTTACTAATCAAAAAATAGCTCTGTTCTAAAAATAAAATTATAAATGTCTCAAATTCAATTTTACAATCTTTTAATTATAAAATTAAACTGTTATAACCTAACCAAACCAACCAAACTTGCTGATATGAAAAAAATTGTTGACAAAAAGTTAGTGCTCCCGGTGGGATTCGAACCCGGCACCTTCAGATTATCAGCCCGACACGCTATCCACTACACCACAAAGGCTCATGACTCAGTTCCGTATCGTTGCAGTTGGTTGACGTCACGCCATCGGCACTGAGCGGTGGTGGGGGTTTTTTCGATCTGATCCACGATCCTACGATCCTAGGAGTTGCACTGGCAGTCTAGATGCTTATCAACCTAAAGGGGAGAGCATTTTTAATCATGTTTGCTTATGTACAGGTCATGAGTGAAAGTCCAACATAGATAAGGTTGTTTTTTAAAAACTGTCACCGATAGCCGATATGTTTACATTAAAAGTTGTTTACAAATAGTGCAATTAATGGGAAATAAATTTGATTCCGGATAATTTTTTTTTTTCGAAAATCCAAAACCAAGGGAGATTAATAACCTCGGGACTTGTTTAACGCATTTTATTGGTTGGACGTACTATAGTTCTTAACTATAAACATTTTTTTTTTTTTGTACTGGCTCTTTTCCTTAAAAACGGTAGTAGCAGCAAAAATAATTTTTACTTACCAACACATCACTATATAAAAATTAGTTATAGTTGGTGTTGCACATTAATGTCCGATGATAGTTTTGTCAGCGTATCTGGAAATGTGCAAATCAACTGCTGTTCTGAATATAAGAAGCTTTCAACTGACTACAAGATTCCCCTGTGTACAACGTGCACACAGCTAGTGTTATTTAAATAGAATACCCCCGCTGCAGCAAACCTGCAAACTAAGCAAGATTTCCATTTGTCTGAATTGATTTTCAATTTAAATCTATTTAAATAACATTAGGTTCAATGAGTACCAAGGTTTGCTGCTACAAGGAAACTAATAAAGTGTGTGTTTTTTAGTAAAATATTAATGGCTTAGTATAAAATAAATAAAATTGACAAGTTTGATCCATAAACAAGCAAACCACAACATTGTACAATATTCTCGAGAAGAATAATATGGAAATTTTAATTTACAATTAATTTTATTTTCTCTGTTACCAATAACGGTACAAAAACAGTTTTGTGTAATAAATTATTTGATTTTTAAGGTCTTTAAAAAGGTCTAGAGAGAAATTGAGAAATTTTGTGTTTTGAGGGTCAAAATGAGAAAAACCATTTTACCCCATAAATCCCCGTTCCATGGTCCGATCATGCTGGTTTCCGAACTCATTCAAGTTTATCCTACACTTTCAAACCAAATATCATCAAAATCGGACAAAAATTACTCAAGTTATCGCGTTCACGGACGTATATATATTATATCTTGGCTATATACATATAGGTATCAAAATTTGAACAAATGGTGTTTTTGGCCTCTGTAGACATCAAAATGAAAAAGTAAATCGGTCCCGGGCCTAGGTTTTACCATAGATAAAACATACTACCTCAGTAGATTTCTCATCCTAATGGAACAGCTGAAGACAATTTTATTGTTAGTTCTGTACGGTTTATGTAGAGGTCGTGTTTTGTTTACAATTTGTTTCCCG